CTCCTGTTTTAAGCTACCCAGTTTGTGGTAATAACTTACAGTAGCCATAGGAATCTAATTACAGGTGTTGATGCCAGTGTGGCAAACCAGAGATTGAACAAAAAAATAATAAGGAAGATTTGGGGAAAGAGATGTCCATAGAGGGCTTTGCAAAGCTCCAGTACATTCTTGGAAATCTAGGAAGGCAAATGCATGAATAATGTAGGGCTGTGCACCTGCCCAGGAAAGATTAAAAAGGACCCTAATTTCTCCAACTCTGAGAGAAATGCTGAGGCCCTGCCAAAGCAAAAAGTGAAGCCTAAGAAAGAATTTTTAGCTATCTGATCATTGGAGTCCTCCTACAACACACACAGAGCCCCTCCACAAAGGGTGGGAGATTTATTGATCCAATCATTTAAATAACTTTCTTTTTAATCACTAGCTGACCATTAAGCTAACTGAGCAGACAAGTTAGTTCAGTGGTTGACATTTGACAGGGACTTAATCAAGAAAAGTAACCAAACAAACAGGAGCAACAACAAACTATGGTGTGGCTACTGGGGGATGGATTTACAGAACTGCCATATTATGTTATTTAAAACATCTGACTTTCAACAAAATGTATGAACTATACAAAGAAACAGGAAAGCAGTCACATGAAAGAAGCTGAAAAGTACCAAGAGGAAAACAAGTAAAAATGTACAAAGGACCCTCAATAAAATGAACTAACTTTTTTTTTCTTTATTGATTAAGGTATTACATATGTGCTCTTATCCCTCCATTGCCCCCCACCCCCACCCCCAATCATACCCTCACACCCCTGGTGTCTGTGTCCATTGGTTAGGCTTATACACATGCATACAAGTCCTTTGGTTGATCTCTTCCCCTTACACCCACCCTCCCCTATCTTCCCTCCGAGGTTTGATGGTCTGATGAATGCTTCTCTGTCTCTGGATCTGTTTTTGTTCATCAGTTTATGTGGTTCATTATAGTCCACAAATGAGTGAAATCATGTGATATTTATCTTTCTCTGACTGACTTACTTCACTTAGCATAATGCTCTCCAAAAATGAACTAACTTTTATCAAAAACTATTGAGCCTAGAAGGCAGTGTTATGACTTAAGCAAAGCATTAAAAAGAAAATATCAAATAAAATTCTATGTCCACCAAAACTATCCTTCAAAAATAAAGAAGAAATTAAAGCATTCTCAAATAAACAAAATTTGAGAAAATTTGTTGTCAGCAGACGTTTCCTATAAGAAAACACAAAGGAAGTCCTTCAGAATGATAATAAATGATATCAGCCAGCAGCAAAACCACACAAAGATATAATGAGCACTGGTAAAGGTGACTAAATAGGTAAATATCAAAGACAGTATAAATGTATTTTTTTCTTTATAACTTTTTATTGTCCTATATGATTTTAAAAGAACTGCATAATAAAGCAATTATCATAAAACTGTGATGATGGGCTTATAGAATATCAAGATGTAATTCTTTTGACAATAGTAACACAAAGAACCTTTACTTAAACTGACCCCATCCCCAAGAGAGGATGTAGCAGCTATGTTGGAGCAAAACTGTGGTATACTGTTAAGATTAGTTGATATTTCTCCTAATTATGCAGTCTTTAAATTAAGATGTTAATTGTAATCTCCATGGGAGCCAATTACAGTGGGGCCTTGACTTACGAGTTTAATTTGTTCCGTGACGGAGCTCGTAACTCAAATTACTCGTATGTCAAATCTTAAAGTGAACGAGTGAGACACGTGATGCCGGGCTGATGTGGCATTCACTGTGACGTTTACTGCGCCAACTAGCAGTGGGGTATCTGAAGCTGGCTCGTAACCCGAATTTTAGCTCCCAACTCAAAGCAAAAAATCGGCCGAGAGACAGCTGGTATCTTGAAAAACTTGTTAGTCGGGACACTCGTAAGTCAAGGCCCCACTGTATAAAAAAAAAAAAAAAAAAACTTAGAAAGGGGGCCATTATAGAAGGTCAGTAAAGGGGGGGTTTGAAATATTTGGGGGGGTTTAGTGGGCATTTTGACATGGCTTCTCCTTTGGCATGTTTAATTGTGATGTTTAACGGACATCCTTCAGTCTAAGATGACACTTTTAAAATAAAATTCTCTCCTAATGATGACTTGAGCCCTGCCACTCGATGGGAGAATCAGCAGAACCTGTAGGATCTTATTCAGAATTGACATTTCTCTATTGTAATTTTGTTCCTGTTTATTTTTAAACTTTCTTTTCGTTTCACTAGAAAGGAAAGATGATGTTCAATTTTAAACGTTAAAAGTGTACAAGTTGCTTTGTTACAATAAAACTAAATGTGTACACACACACCAAAAAAAAAAAAAAAAAAAAAACCCACGAGG